CTCAGCTCTTCAGCTCAAGACTAGCACTCTACCACTTGAGCCACAGCGCCACTTCCGGCTTTTTTCTTTTTGCTTATCTGGTGCTGAGGAATCGAACCCAGGGCCTCAGGCATGCAAGGCAAGCGCTCTACCACTGAGCCACCTTCCCAGCCCCAGATCCTTGTTTTTTCTATGTGTGGTGCTTGGGATGGAATCTAGGCCCTCATTCATACAAAGATGATTGCGCTACCACCAAGTTGCAGCCCAGTTCCTAAGCCATCCAGATTTTAGGGGCAGGTTTGGGCAGCTATCATGAAAAGGGGAGCAGCTCAGCCATCATCCCTCATGTTCTCATTGCTGGTGCTGTCACCTGGTGCCTCTGGGTCATAGTATGTCCCAGGCCTGAATCCTATTGTGCAGGGCTGCCCATCTGACTGCACCACGTGCTTTCCCAAAGGGCAGGCTCTGGAGCGGAAGGGTGGCTGCCACAAAAGGGCCTTTGGTTAACCAGGACCCAGTCATCTTGTCCACTATAAGTGTCAGCAGCAGAGCCAACTGGAAGGGGCAAGGGGAGAAGGCCGATCAGACACGCTTACCTGTCCCCAGACAAGCTCCCCAACGCCAACAAACAGGCACCAGAGCCACTGTTCTGTGGATAACGGGGAACAGCTGAAGGGCTTCCCGCCGAACTGGACGATGACGATCTGCAGGAGGAGGGGAATGGAGGTGTAGTGGCAGTGGACCACCAGCACAGCTCCTGCCTGCCCTCTGCCAGGCCTGCCTTCCAGACCCGCCTAGCCTCCTGGGAAGGCAGAGCCTCCCGATCAGAGTCATTGGATTACTGGTTCCCTTGGCAGATGAGCTAGTTGTTCCCTGAGAGACAGCTTGACTTTCCTTTTGGGGGCAAAACGCCTTATGTGTCAGCCTCCACCTCCCCTCACTCAAGCCCCATACTTAGCTGGATGGACCACATTTCAGCTCTGCAAATCAGATGATTTCTATACCCAACCTGCCTGCACATAGCAAACACCCTGTGCTGCTGACCTCAGACCATGCAGGTCATCTTGCCTTGCCTCCTGCCTCATTATCCTCCACTTTTGGAGGTGTCATAGTCCCAGGCCAGCAAGCTTTTCAAATGCAGACTGCCCAGTACATAGTTCATCTCTGCCCCCCCCCCACTCCCCGCCAGGTACCAAATAAACAAAGAAAGCCCCACAGTGAGCTTGAAAGGATCCCCAGCAACCAATCTTAAGATTCCTGGCCTGACCTCACTAAGAGTTGTTCTGGGGGAACCATCAAATCTTCCCACCATCTGCCTGCTGACCAGAACTTCTGTACAGCCCCCATAATATGGCATATCTCCCTTGGGATTTGTGAGTAATGAACTCTTTCAGTGGCAAGCATCTCTTTTTATTTGTGTGTGTGTGTGTGTGTGTGTGTGTGTGTGTGTGCAAATATTAAGGCTTGAACTCAGCCCAGGCACTGTCTGAGCATTTGTGTACAAGGCTAGTGCTCTACCACTTAAGCCACAACTCCACTTCCAGCTTTTTTGATGCTCAGTTGGAGATGAGAGTCTTATGGACTTTCCTGTCCAGGCTAGTGTTGAACCATGATCCTCAGAACTCAGCCTCTTGAGTAGGTAGGCTTACAAGTGTGAGCACGGGCACTGGCAATTAGCTCTCAATCCACTGGTCCTTACTATAGTCCATCGGAAAACACTATATATCAGAATACTCAGCCCTTCCTGGAGAGCTGGGCTGCCCAGCCTATCCATGTCATAGTGGCAGGCAGAGGATGGCATTCCACCCCTGAGCACAGCTGACATCTCCAACAGAACCTTTTAGAGTTACAACAGCCATACCGCAAGGAACTAGATGGTAAGAATGGGAATGGCAGACCCTGGCATGGTGAGGGGCAAGCAGGAAGGGCTACTTGTGACACCTGTAAAGAGAACACAGTTGTACAGGCACGTCCATCCCTCTGGAAGCCAGCAAGGAAGTTCAGCCATGTTTGGAGGGCGAAGACCATCTGCCCTGGAGTGCAGCAAGGGTGTGAGTTGGAGGAAAATCACGAATGGCACAACTGGCCAGTACCAGGGGAGCCCTAGGACGGAAGCCTGGGGCCTCAGCGTCTTGCAGGTAGCAGAGGCCGAGTATGGAGCCTCCCCTCTCACCTGAATTCCAAAGGTGCCCAGAACAATGGTGCAGAAGATGGGGTTGCTGAAGATGCCATCGAAGACATTCCTCTCACCGTGGATCTTGCGGGCGTTGATCTCATTGAAGAGCTGCATCATGACGAAGGTGTTGAAGATGATGGTGTAGTGCTCTGATGGCGGTGAGTGCAGAGGTGCATTCCGCCCGCTGTCGATGTCGAACAAGAGCTCCCCTGGAGGGAGGACACAGAAGGGGGGGAGGGAGGGCTGACGAGGGCCTTTAGCACATCATGGCCTGGGGTGCCTGGTGGGACACCCACAGTGAGGGGCCACGGAGAGGTAAGTGAGGGCCAAGGGAACCAAGCAGGCCTCTTCCTTTTTCATTTGCCATTTTGTCAAAAAGGACTATGTAGCCAGGTGCTGGTGGTTCATGTCTCTAATCCTAGCTACTGAGGAGGCTGAGATCTAAGGATCACGGTTCAAAGCCAGCCCGGATAGGAAAGTCCGAGAGGCCCTTATCTCCAATAAACCACTAGAAAACTGGAAGTGGTGCTGTGGCTCAAGCGGTAGGTAGAGCGCTTGCCTTGAGCTGAAGAGCTGAGGGACAGTGCCCAGGCCCAGAGTTCAAGCCCCACGACCGCCCCCTCCCAAAAGGACTATATAGGCAGGCATCAGCAGCTCCCACCTGTAATCCTAGCTACTTAAGAGGCTGAGACTTGAAGGATTACACTTTGAAGCCTAGCCCTGGCCATGAGATTCCATCTCCAAAAAGTAGCAAAATGCCAGGCTAAAGGCATGGCTCAAGTGGCAGAGTGCCAGCTGTGAATAACAAGCTGAGCTCAAGGACCAGAATTAACAAAACCCAAAACATCCAAAATCTGTGATGTCTCACTCTGTGGTTGGCAGGGATTATACATAATGTAAGCTAGTCATGGCCCAAGCGCACGGGGCACCAACAGTGTGCTGAAGACTTTGTGCACACAGCTGAAAAGTGTGTGTGTGTGTGTGTG